TATATATATATATATATATATATTCATCCGCATGGACACCATCGCAGGACAGCTTCCTAATAGGACCTCAAAACGTCGAGATCTGATGGAATCTCGATTTCCGCAAAACGGGGTAAAACCAATAACTTCCCGAATTAAAAAAAATTTTCAATTTTTCTTAGCGGGAAGTTAAAAAATCAATTCCAGTTTCGAGAAAATTGCTTTTCTTGACAAGTCGAGAGTAGAGCACTAACTCAACGCTTTACTTATGAGGCGTGCAATAATTCGGACAGCCTGGACCGGGAATCTAATGTGTATCTGTTAGTTACGCCCCAAGAGTTTTTCTAGTTAACCGATCTAAGACATCATACATATGTAACAAATTTTCAGTCACCTAATGATTTTTTGTTTAACACGATAACGCAACATAATACTTATTGAAATATCCTCCATATAACTATTTATCAGTAGATACTTCAACAAATGCACAGTTTGAATAACTACAAAAAAAGTTTAGAAAACTATATTTTTATACTTGTGACCTTATAATTCAGCTAACTTATGGACTTTTTTTCTCAGTGCAGTAATGAAAGTATAGTCTACAATACGATAATTGTATTGTAAATTTTCTTAAAAATTTTTTACTGTGTTTTCTTTATCTATGTATTCCATCTTTTTCCCAATCTTTTAATTGGTAACTAATAATTGTTAAAAAAACGGAAATTCTCTTTCTATTTTTAACAATAATTTGTTCCAATAAGATTTCATTGATTTAAAAACGAAATTCTTAAGAATTTTAGAAATAAAGTTTATAATTTCCAGAATAATATAATATAAAATAAAATAATAGTCTTTGAAAATTATTTCTTTTTAAATTTTTGCATCATTAATTTTTGGTCCTAAAGCTCTATTCTCTTCTAGCACCATGAACAGAGGTCGAACACAATGGTTGAAAGTTGACAATATTATCGGTGCAATAATTTTTCCAATTATTGTTATCGATTTTGTTCTTCAACTCATCAGAGTTCACACGATTTACTATCGGAATTATTGATAATCTCTCTCGCTGAAAATTACCTGACTGACGTGTTTATAAGTAACACTGGGATAATTATGACTATCACGAGAATGTTTCACAACTAACACCTATGTTTGAAGCTATACTTCATTACGTGGTTAATGTAGGTTTACCATGTATATTGCTTTATTGTTATTTTGCATAGTCTGCAAGCTAAGTCCAAGGTCAAATGAGAGTTGATCTAGCGATAATCCAACCGAATCATTGATTGTAAAGTACTCGTCATAATTGCAACTTCGCGAAGTGAACAACTTCTGGAAATTACAGTATACATAATTCCTACAACGGAAGTTCCAATTTTCAACAATTCAATAAAAAAATACGGCAATCATAAAAATAAATTAATGTATCATCAGGTTTTGAAGTGCTTCCGTTATTCCGTATCCAAACTAATCGGATTATCGCCGTGGAGTGCTAAATTTCCAATTCAGTTATCTAAAATCGAAAAAGTTTATGACGATAAAAATTTTTCCAGAATTTCTTTCACATGGTCAACGTACAATATTTTACTATTTTTGGCCATTCTTTCATTCGGTATCTTCAATTTTTTAATTATGTCAAAGGAAAGTTGGTATCAGGAAAGCTTTTTATGGTCGACTGTAGCAAAATTTCAATTTATGATGTATCTGATCATGAGTTTGATACCTCTATTCTATATCATCCAACAAAAAACTTTTATCGATGCCTGCAACCGGTTGAGAAGCTTGGACAAAATACTTAGCCAGTGCTTAAATTATCAAATAAAGGATAATTACACTGATGATTTGATATTCTTGATTACTCTTTTATTTCCCGAGAAAAAATGTTTCTATATAATCATATATAATTGAATATAATCATATATGATTATATATGGAATCACATATATAATTATATAGAATTATATATAATTATATATAATCATACATGATTATATATAATCATACATGATTATATATGGAATTGTGTATGAGGTTATATATAATCATATTGTAAAATGCTGAAAGAGCGGAAAAACTAAGGATCAGGTTTCGGTCTGGTTATCTCAATTAAAATACAAAAATTATTATTAAAAATAACACTAGAGATTTATTAACAATAAATACAATCAATATTTAACTTGTTTAATAGCGGATTGGTTAAATAAAAGCGGATATGTTATACACAGCGTGGTTAGCAAAAGCGAAGCCGTTTAGCACGTGGTTGAGTAAACTGCCGGCACTGTAAAAAGCGGTAATTACTGCACAATTAATTCTAATTAATCTGAAACAAACTAAATAAATTAAATGCAATCAATTAAAGCGAATTAAACTATAAGAATTAGCGAACAGCGGTTAATTAGCAAGGCGAAAATTATATATGCGAAAAAGCGACTTGTTCGTACGAAAGATGGATGCGAAAGACAATAATAATAATTCGTCTTCTTCCTCGTCTTGGAGAAGAAGGCTACTGCGCATGTCTAGCGAGAGCGATAGCCAATCAATAAATTCGATACATGTGGCGTGATCAGTCAAGCGGTTTGCGCAAGCGGGTGAGAAATAGCGGGAACGATGGCTTGTCAGGTGCGTGTTGTAAATTTGGGGAGCCCACAGTGACGTATTGCTCACTGAGTGGGCCTGTTCACCGAACACATATATAATTATATATGACTATATATGGAGCGATATACAACCATGCAGGATTATATATAGTTCCATATACAAATATATATAAGTATATAAAATTATATATAATCATACATGATTATATATGGAATTGTATATGAAGTCATATATAATCATATATAATTATATATGACTATATATGGAGCAATATACAGCTATGCAAGATTGTACATAGTCCCGTATATAATTATATATAATCACCAAGCCTAAAGTCAGATAACTCTCCATACCTGGCATTCAAAGGAGCTGATTATGTCAGCCTCAACACCTTCTTTCTTCGAACAAATTGGTCGGACCTTTATAAAATAGACCTAATAGATGACAAACTCACGTGGTTCTACAACAAATTGCAAGAAGGTATTGACCAATATGTCCCAGTGCACAAGTGCAAGAAAGATAATTTCCCTTGCTGGTTCTCCAATGAACTAAAAGATAAAATAAGACTGAAAAAGGCAGCTCATGCTAGGTACAAGAAATGGAAAAGCCAAATCAATTACAGGAATTTCAGCCTCCTGAGATCTGATTGTAAGAAACTGAGCTTAATGTGCTATAAAAGCTATGTCAACCGTATAGAATCTATGATCCAGTCTGACCCGAATTGCTTCTGGAAATTCATTAAAAATAAAAGACGTAACAATTCAGACATTCCGTCGAACGTGTTCTGGGATGACTTGTCAGCTGACACTGGTACAGATATAACCAATTTATTTGCATCCTACTTTGAAAGTGTATACATCCCTGCTACAAGTGATAATGAATATTCTGGAATTGACCTCGACGAGCAAAATGCCGACCTGAATGACTTTGAGGCCACCTTCGATAATGTATACAAGCAACTGATGAGCCTGAACCCTAAGAAAGGAGCTGGACCGGATGGGATTCCTAATATCTTCCTCAGGAACTGCGCTGCCGGACTCTGTGAGCCCATAACTCATATCTTCGATAAATCACTTCAGCTTGGGACATTCCCAGCAGACTGGAAAGTCTCGTTCGTCAGCCCAATACACAAGGATGGCCCTAGATCATCTGTCTCCAACTACAGACCCGTATGTATTCAATCAGCACTAGCTAAGCTAATGGAGAAGGTGGTCTTACCTCAACTGACTTCCTCCTTTAAACACATTATCTCTACCAAGCAACATGGGTTTGTAGGCAGCAGATCGACGACAACCAACCTGTACACCTACGTCAACTACATACTTAATGCTATGAACAGCGGTCACAAGACTCATGCTATCTACACCGACTTCAGCAAGGCTTTTGACAGGGTAGATCATGAGATTTTACTAAGGAAGTTGAAAAACTACGGTGTACATGGACACGCACTCAGCTGGCTCCGGTCTTACCTAACAGGCAGACGTCTGCAAGTCAGGGTTGATGGTAACTTATCTGACGAATACATGGTCACTTCAGGTGTTCCTCAGGGGTCGCACTTAGGCCCTATACTCTTCAATATTTTCGTCAACGACATTGGAAAAGAGTTTGATTCAGAGTTTATACTGTATGCAGATGACCTAAAAATCTACAGAACTATAGCGAGCGAACTAGATTGCGAGATCCTACAGCATGACATCAACACGCTAGCTACATGGTGCACAAACAACAGACTTGACTTGAATGTCAAAAAATGGGCAGTGATAGCCTTCACACGTGCTCATACCCAGGTGCCCACCAGCTATCTCCTGAATGGCGTCGAGATCAAACAAGTAGACTGCATCAAAGACCTTGGTGTCTTAATTGACAACAAGCTTATGTTCACCAAACATGTAGACAAAATCACATTCCAAGCTTTCAAAATCCTAGGCCTTGTCACAAGAACATGTAGAGATTTCAACTACCCGCATACTACGGTTAACCTATACCTTGCCCTAGTTCTGCCGATTTTGGAATACTGCTCGGTCATCTGGTCACCCTACACTGATATCTTAACCAAGCAGCTTGAGAGAATTCAAGACAAGCTATGTAAATATCTCTCGAATACATGCTGGTCGCGAGCTAATGCCTCAACTTCAGATGATCTTCGCAAGCACTTCAAATTAAACAATTTGACTAATCGTCGTCAGGTCGCCGACATGGCTTTTTTTTATAAAGTGGTCAATGGAATCATTGACGCCCCGGACATCTGCAGCAGCTTCGAATTTGCGCCTGCCAACATAATGTTGAGGCGCAAAAGGTTACTGAAAACTACTAAGTCTTCGAAAAGCTATGTGGTGAATGGACCTCATGACAGAATAGTAAACCTGGTGAATAAATTAAATGGCGAAGTGGAATTTTACGGTGGTACCTTCAGTGCTTTTATGTCAAACATTAAAAGACAGTTGCTTATGTACACATAAACTACACAAAGTTTTCTTTTTTTCGTTCTTTGCTTCAATTTAAATCATAATTTAATTTCTTTAATTTATGTTATTTAATTTTAAATAATTTCTTTATGTATATTGCCGATAGGCGTATGTTAATAAATAAATAAATAAATATATGCTTATATATAATTAACATACATAAAAATTTTTTCTTTGAAAAAAAAATTTTTTTTGGTAATCACAAAAAGTGTAAAATGATGTTTATAATTACGTTTAAATAATTCTGAAATACAAAATTTGTCACATTTCCTATGAGATGTTTTGTCTGCTCTGCTACTACGTAATAGTAAAATCATTATTTAATTTATTATTTAAATAAGTGTTATATTATAATGAAATTCGGTAAGATAAATAAATTATGAATTATGACTATCCAAATATATTATAAAATCAATTTTTATATTATATTTATGATAAACTCATATGATACATTAAGTAGATCATAGAAACATTATTGTTTAAGATAGCAGCACAGAAGACGCACGGAGATCACCAAAGTTAAGCAGAATTGAGCAGGGTTAATAGTTGGATGGGTGACCACTGGTGTTATAGCCATAACATTAGATCTAGATATTTTTTTTGCATTTTGATCGGTTACACAGAATTGCGTAGGACCATATTAAATACTCTATCCATAAAATTAACCCAATAATTAATTAGATGTAATAAATCTATAATTAAATATTGTTATATATAATTATATATAGTTATATATAATTATACATAATTATATATAATTAGATATGATTATATTTGGCCATTTTTCATATATAATCATATATAACCAATTTATATATAAATATATATAATTATATATAAATATTTTTTCTCGGGTTATTATGTGTCAAATAACCATTGATAAGATTTTTTATGGACTGCAAATCGCTTTTTCTGAAAATATACCCTATATAATCAATAGTGGAGTATTCATACATTATGCTATAGTACTTAATAAAATCAACAAGAGGTTTGAAGGCATCAACTTAATTTTCTCGAAGTTGGATATCACGAAAATTAATTCAACTCAAATATCAACAATAACACAAATAGTTCCGTTGCGTGTATCAGTTTTAAAAGACATCATTAATATTAAGTACGCATACAGAAAATTGATTGAAGCCTGTGAAGATATTAGTAACTTTTACGGAGCACCTGTTCTGATCACATTTATATCTTTGGTTGGAAAAGGATTAACCAGTACATATCTCGGGGTTTTATTATTTATGAATATAGAATTAACACCAGTTCCATGGTATCAAACAGGAATACGCCTCTCATGGATAATGTTACTATTCATCATTTTGACTTCTAAGATAGCAACGATAGCAGAACAGGTATTATTACTTACTCATTCATTGATAATAATCTTCCTGATTCTAGAGAAACTGATGCAAGAACAATCCCTTGTAACCTTGACGCCACGGTGTAAGTGGATGATTCAATTCCCTATCAGAATATGCATCGATAACAGTCGTAGTGGTATTTTTTTCAGAGGAATAAAATTAATAAGAAAAAGTTGCAAATTCCCATGTTATTTAAATGGGAAATGTAACTCGATTAGGGCAAGGTTTAATTCGGTAATTAAGAGCTTATTTATGTAGGATATTTTTTTTTAGGTCAAAAACTAAAAATCCAGGGGGCGTCCGCAAAAAAAAAATCAACTTGGTAAATAACGGACACCCTAATACAGAACGATGTATAAATACTAAAGTAATATAAAGACTTTACTTTTGTATTTTTTTAAATTAATAAACATTTGTGAAAAATCGTTTATTTTCATCAAAACACAATAATAAATAACATAAATTGTGAAAATAATAAACCGTCACATTGTCAGCATATAGAGTTAGCTTATATGAATGATGAGATGTAGAACAACTTATCGGTCGTACGGCGTAGGGGTTAGTTATTGGTCTAGTAAGCGTGCGGCTCGGGTTCGAATCTCGGTTAGAGCAAATGCAATTTTCACTTTAATTTCATAATTAATAAAAGTTAGGTCGAAATAAAGAGTCAAAGGGACTAAACTTGCGTTAGCCTTGCATAGAAATTAAAATAAAAAAAAATTACAAATAAAAAATTTTTTTTATCACTTTTTATCAAATGGCATGGGCCAGACTTGAATAGTAACTGTGGCCTAGTCCTGGTAACCAGGCATGGGTCAGACTCGAAAATCGGTATTGACCCAATACTAAAATTCAGTCTTGGCACAATACTTATTTTCAGTCTTGGCACAGTACTGATATTCAGTCTTGGCAGGAAGTTATCATTTGTATGCTTAGACGGACTTGGGCCAAGCTTGGATTTCAAGCTTGCCCCAGAGTTAATGAGCATTGCGCCAAGCCTTGGCCAAGCTCGGGCCGATTGTTCTTTCCTCTAAGGGTTGTAATCAATATTCGCTCCACTTCTCTTCATGTTAATAATAATTCTTCAAATTACGTAAAAACTTTGAAAAATTTTTAGTATTTATGTTTATAAACCTCATCTCAGCATAAAATAAAAGTGTACGGAAATTATTTTTCAATTTCTTTTATTAAATTTTCTACTATATCTTTCTACAATAATTTTTTCTCGCATATTCTATACACTCACATTAAGATGATCCTCTCCACAATCCTTTCTCAATCCTTTCCTACCAATTATCCTGTTACGTGAATGTTGGAACGCTTCACGTAATAAATTATCCGAAACTCCTATTCTTTCCCGCTTCACAGCATTATTTATATTTGTTAAATAATAATAAAAAAATTTATAATATGTTAACAAATATAAATAATGCTGTGTAACAAATATAAATAATAATAATAATAATAATAATAATAACATTTTTATTATATAATAAAAACGACATAAGCACATTATTAGAAGTGTCTTTAAAATAATTAGCTCACAAATTTATTTGAATTTTATTTTAAAGTACTGTTAAAAAACCTTTAAACTTTAAAAATGTGCTATTTTCGACCTAAAATAAAAATTCATTTTTGTTAAACTATTTTTGAGAAATGTTAAAAACGTTAAAAATTAACAAAAAAGACACGTAGAAATGATGTTATTTTCATTTTTGTTATGAGCAATAATATTACAGCATAATTACATCATTAAAAGTTTATTTAAAGTTACTCACATATAAATTATATCGAATTTTATTTTTTAACATTTTTGAAAACAAACATAGAGCAGTAAAGCACCACAAACCTTAAAAACGAATTATTATTAAATTATTACTAATTCATATTGTTAATAAAAATTACTTTGATCTTGATTTATTGAATACACAACATTAATTAAAATAATTAAAGACTAAGCAATCATTTTAAAATGTACAAATATCATTGCAAAAAAAATATTACTAATATTTTAGAAAACTGTCATTAAGATCGTTGCTTGCTTCCAATAATTCTATTCCTTGATTGTCAGCTTCAGTTTTCCAGGATTCATAAGTATTTATCTTTATGTGCAGCCCGATATTGAGCCATTTCTTTGGGAAACACTTGGGTGAACTCAATAAACCACCCGGGTAACAAAAACTATACATAATTATTTACAATTATATATGATTTACGTATAATTCTATATGATCATATGTAATTATATAGGGCTATTTTTCATAAATGATTATATATGTAATAATTTTTTTTACCCAGGTGGGTAGCAAACGAACTTGGAACTTATCAGCTCTTCCGCCTGTGCCTTGAAACATTTCTTTTTCTCGAGCGCTTTTTTCAATTTGTAAAAGTATTTAATTCTGAATAAGCGTGCATTAGGACAGTGAGAAATTAGAAATATTACTCCTAACGTTATTTATTAGTCTTGAGAGCTAGAACCATTTTTTGCTTTGCAAGCGGGGTAGTAAGAGAAAGGCTCAACTATCAGATAATTCAACAAAGAACATAAGAAATTTTATGAACTATAGACATGGACTAATTTAATTAATATATAGGTTAATATGACATACTACTTAACCGGAATTGGATGATAATCATAAGATACGTTGTAATTGTACCAGAAATCTGAAAAATAAAAAAAAATTAGTCTATATTGGACTATATGTCAATATTTCGAATTTTGTAGAATTTGTAAAATCGAACGCGACCACACTCAAAATCGTAAAAATTCGAAAAATTGACTAATTTTTTTATTTTAAATATTCTACCTCAGTTCTTAATCGAACGTTAAAATTTACTAATTTTTTCAAAATTCATGAAAATTTTTAAATCACTATATTATGAAATTGTTTGTTCTTATTTTGTTCAGTTTTTTATGTTCTTAACAGAAAAAAACTAGTGTACCACGTGGTACGCTACAGACTGGTTAAATAAGTTTTTTTTTTTTCAATTTTCAAACTGTGAAAAATAATACAATCAGAAAATTTTTTAATTTTTAATAAATAGTTTGAAAATCCGCAGTGAATGATAACAAAATAAAAAAAAAAAATTCGATATTTCTTCTCTCTTATTTTTTGTCATTTTACAAAATAACTACTTATACAATGTATCGTATTCACGTTAGAAGTGTTAGACGCGCCAAATTCAATTTCAATTTTTTTGTTATTAATATTTTTTTGTCATTAATGTTGTTACTACTTTTTTTTTTTTAGTTATTAATTTATTATGATAACATGAGCACTAGCGGCGTGATATTTTGGATTTTGAAAATTTTTTTTTCACTATTTTTAAAATCAGCGAAAATATGAAAAATGATTAATTTACCATATTATCAAATAACTTCTGCATAACTCATTGTATCGCAATTCAATGGATTATGTTACAACTCCATGAAAGAAACTACAATTTTTACTAATGAAATAAACTACAAATTCACTAGTGAATTGAATACCTATTTAATTTATAATTTTTCTAATAAATTTGAAGAGCACTCTAAAGTTAGTATCAAAAAATTTCAACTCTTACTATCGGCGAAAATTGAAAAATCTACCTTTTCATTTTAGGTCTGACTGAATGAGACTTTTTTTGAATTCAAACGTGTGAAAACTATAATTTTAGATAATAAATTTAACTTACGACTGCAAGAAGACTTCTGTCTAGAGGTAAGACATCACAAACGGTGAATTTGACCCTCATGTAGAGAAGATTTTTTGAAAACTTCTTGAGCTTTAATCAAAAAGATTCATCAGAACAATGTAAGATACAAATGTAAAATTATAAAAGGACTTACCTTCTGTTCAATTTTTTCGTCCATGAAATACCGATCTCTGAGCTCATTGATGACCTCGATGGTTTTCTCATTCTTAAAAAAGAGTAAATGTATTATATGATGCGAAATTTCCTTAAACTAGTAGACTAATTTGTAGAGTTTTTGATGTGTGTTTTCTGACAATTAACTACATTTCCAATTAAAAAATCATTTTTAGGTAGATTTCGTAGAAATACACCTAAGTAGTCGAGTGAGGCTCAAAAATGGCATTGGCTTCAAACTTTATGTAAGTATTGAGACACTACCCTGATAGCCACCTCATACTATAAGTTCTTGTAGTTAAGTTCTTGTAGATAAGTTAGCGACAAGTTATCGTTAAGTTAACGTCAAGTCCACAAATGCCGATCCTTATATGGATGGAATTAAGCAATAACGTCTTAACCAACATTTAAAAAAAAATCGAGTTATTATGATGAACTTGCCATATGCAAGTTGACAATAAGGTGGTGCCGAATTTTAAAAACAACACAGTAAAAAATTTTACGTCATTGCGTCAAAAAATTTTGTGTTAAAAATTTTTGTGTTAAATATTTAACACTTTTTTGTGTTAATTTAACATTTTTCTGTGTTAATTTAACACAATTAATGTTAAATTTACACATAAAAGTGTTAAATATTTAACACAAAATTTTTTGACGCAATGACGCAAAATTTTTTACTGTGAAGTTATCTATAAGCTTATAATAAACTTGAATAGAAAATTTCGGTAACTTAACGACAAGTGTTTCACCACAATTCGTTGAAGTAAACTTGACCATAACTTGGCGATAAGTTGTAGATTAATACTTATTGCCAACCTACTTTTCGTCAAGTTATCTATAATTCGCCGCACTAAGTTATTTGAAAGTTATAGTATGAGATGGCTATCAGGGTACAAAATGTCCCGATTCCATCAGCCTAGCGAACTACCACCCGAAATTTCTGTTACCGACACTAGCTAAATTAATGTGTAGCCCCCGTGACGTCACAGGACGACACGAGGAGGGGAAAATCAGCTACGAACCTCAAAACCTGAGCATTGATCGACACTTCGATCTATCTCCCGGTGTCAACCACCACGTTAGATATTTCTTAGTCAAATTTACTACTATACCTCTATTACCACTATTAGGTGATTACTCACCAAAATTTATAAAACTTACTACTAATTAATCTAATATTCTTTCTTACTACTCTCTTAAAAGGAATCAGTGGAATTTCACTGGTTCACCAGTGGACGTTCACTGATTCCAACCAGTGGTGCAATTTCACTGGTGAATCAGTGAAATCCACTGATTCAATCAGTGAACATAATACCTGCGCGCATGCGCGCTAGTATCTCCACTGGTTGAACCAGTGAAATCCACTGATTCGCCAGTGACATTGCATTCACTGGTTGGATTCTATTGTTACAAGTATTCTATTTTGTTAAGTTACGTTACCGAAATACCACAAGTTTATATTAAAAGTGCTTATTTTGTGTAATAAAGTTAAGTTTATTGTTATCACCGCTATATACTATTACTAAACTACTACCTATTCATCTATCTATTTACTGCGACTATCTATATTCAATCCAAAGGGTCAATCAAGGACGCAGAATAATCACCGCAGTTAATATTGTAAATAAGTAAAATAAATTAACTGGCACGCGTGAGAACTTCTGTCTAAATTAATAAAATAATTCAAAGACAAAGACATTCATTGGTTCACGGAAGCAGAATATTCCAGAGCAGCGAATCCCACTTTTTAGAAGTTTAGACGATTATTTTCTTATCCGCGAGGTCTAATGGTCTAAATAATTACATTTTTAAACAAAACAAAAATTTAGTGTTTCAGTATGTATGTGTATATGTAATAGAACACGGCTTGTGAACACGATAGCTCTTACAATTCTTGATGAATATTAATGAAACTTGATACATTCATTCCTTGGAGGAATACCTTGAATGAATCCGAAGATAAGCAAAATCGGTCGATTAGTTCAGAAATAGAAATTAAAATTTTCAAAATGGTGAAAATTGAATTTTCGGTCACTTTATCAGTAAATAATTTTTGATTACGAAGGAATAACTTTTTTGTGAAAAATGTAGTTTAAAGCTTATGAAATTGCTTTTAGCGTGACTTATAAAAAATTTACACCACAAATTACTGAGAAAATATAAAGATAATTTATTTTTGAGAAATCCACTTTCCATCTCGGTTAAGGCCGAATGGTGGTTTTTATAACATACAGAGAATACTAAAAAATAAATTAAAAAAAATTCTTAACTTAGAAAGAAACAATATTGTCAGCTGTCAATTATTTTTTTCTTCTTCCATTTCATTTCTAAAATTTAACATCAAATTCAAGTAACTGTTTGAATCTAAACTTTAAAGTGTTATTTGTTGTCAGTAGAATAAAATCAAATATTTTTAAGTAGGATAAAATAAAAATATTTGGAATCTATTTATGTATAGAATTATTAAAAATTTTCTTCATAATCTAAAAAAAATGAATTCCTTCGTGAAGAATAAGGCTTAATGAAACTAAAATAAAATTTCTTCGATTGAATGATAATTCATTTCAATAATGAATCTTAATAATTATAATTAAAGTCACTCACTTGAGACAAAAAATAATTCATATGTTAAAAAATTATTTAGTTATGTACCGATAATATTCAAAAAACAAATCTGATTTTGGAATCATCAATCAAATCTCTGGCTAGAGATGGAATAAATAAGAAATAGTAATTTTTTTGTACTTGGTTCATTTTATACGTCAACAAATAGAAAAATTTTCTTATGTTTCGAAAGAAAGTAATACTTATTAATTTTACCTCTTTTATCGTTTTTGTAACATAAGTTGTCAGAAGAGTGAAGAGAAAAACATTTCGCAGTAGAAATGATGCGTACAGCCATATAAAGGTGTCCATCTCTTCAAAGCGGATCAAATTCAAAATTAGATAGTACAGCATGAATATACTTCTGATACTTAACACAAAAATTGAGATAAAAGTGGGAAATCCGTAAAAATTAGATGCCTGGTCACACATGTCACATAAAATAATATATGCAAGTTTGATTCTGCCGATATCTTGAAGAACTGATTCACGAGAATGGGATATCTTGCTATTGACAGTCCCCATTTTGGAAACAGCTCTATTGATTCTCTTAAACCGCTTTTCGATAATAAACAGCAACAATGTATATTGAATTATAAGCCAATTACTAATTAAGAAAGGTGTACTCCAAATTAATGTTCGTACTACTGACTGGATGACATTTCCTCGTGCTGCCAAAGTAAAGATGGTCATCAAGAAATTAAGAGTAAAAATCGAGTAATTAGTATCGTCTTCTGCTCTATAATCTGCACAATTTTTCAATTCAGCGTCCAAAACTTTAAATTGATTGTTGACATTTATCAAAATTGTCTGGCGAACAACGTAAATTATGAAGATTATACTTGCTGACAGCATTGAAATTACCATGAATTTTGATGATACTGCTCCGAACATGGTATCAGTTTCAATAACCTCCAATTCTTCTTTTAAAATTTCAATTAAAGTCATAACGATTATTACTGTGAACAGCAGGATGTTGTAACACGATCCAGCATGAGAAAAATTCCAAGCTAAATTTTTAGAATCATCTTCGGTAGCAATTTTTCGAAACGCAGAAAACTCTTGCTTCCACGGCGACAATCCAGATATTTTGAACAGAATATACTGAAAGTATTGGAAATATCTGTACCCTACTATTTTCAAGTGTTTCATAGTTTTTTCGGATTCTGAATTTCCTGGCACTCGTTTTGTATTTTTATTTCGATAAGGCATGTCTTGAAATACAATAGTGTTTGTTCTGAGCTGTCACAATAATGACTAACGGAATATTTTTTATGATAAAATATCAAAGCTCTCGTTTATTGCGTGATTATTGTACGATTTGAATAAATTTATTAATGATCCGATACAGATATTGTCCAGAACTGCATTCAAGGTGTCAATTAACATTATATTATATATTTTGGCATTCAAATGCAATATCATTGTTCTAGGCGAAATAATGATTGTTTTTTTATGGAACATTTGCCCAGAAACTATTAAAATTTCTTGTTTTGATGTTTATGGTAATTTCAATTTATTTATTTCATTTTTCGCTTAATTTTTTATTGATGAAGTCGTGTGAAATGACGTGTTGACTTTGTCGAAAGCAATTAAAGCTAATTAACGGCAGGCTAACTTTTTCTACTTGATTATCATTCCGCTTCAGTGAAAAATGAAAGTTTTTTTCCGTAAAAAAGTTTTAACTGATTTATTTTTTAGAACACAATTCCTAGTTTTGTAAATTTTGTAAGAGTGAAATAGGGGATAATGGAGCACAATTGCCTACCTAAGTAAGTTATCATTTTTGTGGCTTTCAATAATCTAATCGGTCTCTCTTTGTTTTATCTTGAAGTAATTCATTATGATTTTTTGAAAATTAGAAGAAAACAACAGCCATTTCTTTCAATTTCACTTTAAAAAAATATCACAAGTGATATATACAGTATAGCGCTCAAAAGTATTTTGACATATACCTATATTTAATGGTTTAATTAAAAATAAATATGAAACACAATAATCATTTCTATATTTTTTTAACAGCTTTTGAATAATCTACAGAATAGTGTCAAAGTGGTCCTTGTTCGTAACAAAAGGAAGTCTAATTTTTAAAATATTAGGAAAATGGTGGCACCAAAGTATTTTGACATTGTTGAAAAAAACTAACGCATATTGTTGTCAAAATACTTTTGAGCGCTACTGTATATATGGGATAGAACGCGGCTTGTCATGACGATGGTGTCTACAATTCGCAACAGATATTTATTTCATTTCTTTGACTTCTATTTAATTTCTCGCCATCAGGCATGACAAATGACCGGGCATGATCAGGTCTGTTCATGCCTGGTCAGGTGGTTTTAAGCCTAGAAAAATATTTTCGCAAATAAAAAGTAACATCAAAAAAATTAAGGATTAAATTCCCTAAATTAAATGTTATGTTGGAGACCCATTTTGAATTTCGAAACAAGAATTATATGTGGGGTATTCCATGCCAAATCGACCACTTTTGTACTTGACCCCTTTAGATTTAGCTGAAACTTTTCTATTCTTTTCTACCCTTTGAAAGACATTTTTGAGAATTTTTTCAAATTTTTTTATCCAACCCAAAAAAAAAATATGAATTTAAAAAAAATGGCTTTTTTATTTTCAAATAGCCATAACTTTTTTAGACATTGACCTTTGGATACCTTTTTATTTTTTTTAATTTTTGTTTTTGAATGAACTTCTCGAAAAAAATTTAACATGATCAATTATATAAAATAATCGGTTTTTTTAAGTAAAATCGTCATTTTTTCGAAGTCCGTCATGTTCTTTTTTTTTTTTTTCTCAAAAAAAACTTCAATCAATTTTACAACTATTCCCGCTCATTCCGGACAGGGTCGATTTTTTTTTAATATTTTTTTTATGTAATTGAAAAAAAAATTGTCAAATTTTCTAAAATAAAAAAAAATTTTTTTTTTCAATTGAATAAAAAAAATCGGCTCTGTCCGGGATGAGCGGAAATAAGTTGTCAAATTGATTGAAATTTTTTTTGAGAAAAAAAATAAAAAAAATATGACGAACTTTGAAAAAATAACGATTTGGTTCGAAAAAACCGATTATTTCATAGAATTGATCATATTTAATTTTTTTTGTGTGATTTTTCGAAAAGTTCATTCAAAAACAAAAATTTAAGAAAAAAAAGGTACCCAAAGGTCAATGTCTAAAAAATTTATGGCTATTTGAAAATAAAAAAGCCATTTTTTTTGAAAAATTCATAACTTTTTTTGAGTTTGATAAAAAAATTTGAAAAAATTTTCAAAAATGTCTGTCCAAGGGTAGAAAAGAATAGATAAGTTTCAGCTAAATCTAAAGGGGTCGGGTTCAAAAGTGTTCGATTTGGCATGGAATACCCCATGTATATTTGATGAAAAATTTCTAGGCTTAATGCTAGGGTTCGAACTCGGGTCTTCTAGTGTCGAAGTCTGGAACGCTGCTTACTCGTCAAAATCATGTGTAATGACTATTGATAGCTAACTGATATATTAAGACTTGCATGGTGAAAAATACTGGTTTTATAAGTTATTCTGGAATTTCATTGAATTTGAGTAATGGAATTTCATGAAATTTAAATCTACGGAGAATTTAGAAAATTTTATGAGATTTCATCAAATTTTAGGAAACCCTAAAATTTTGTAAAAGTTCTTATGCAAAAGGTACTGAATAAACATTTTATAGATTTTTACAAATTTTTATGACAATTTTTTAAACTTTATAAAACGATATGAGTAAAATAGACTTGATAAAAAAAAGTATATAAAATTACAAACAGGGTTGCAGTTACTCAAACAGACTTTACTGTGATAAATTTGATATTATTAAAAAATATAAGAACTACCACACAGTACACTTTTCTTTTGGATTCATTGGAGATTCTGAGGGACACTGAAAATCATCAGAAAATTCTTTCATATTCGAAAACGATCCTATTATTCTAAACTCTGCTGGACTGTGGTCGTCAATTAGCAAATATGTTTTTGTAATTTCGGGGCGTTGGTTAGTACACCAACTTTGGGCTGTGCTTATCCAGAACATTTGAGTTGGTGAAAAACATTCAAATCCAGGAAGTCGAGGTTCTGGCTTGTTTGAGCTAGTCCAATTTTTGTAAGCTAAATAGGCTAATTTAACTCCTCCATTATCAGCAACATTCTCAGAAATCATGGATAATCCATTTATCTAGAAAAATAAACTAATTTTAACCAAAAGCGACAAAAACTCAATTAGCATATTACGTCCTAAAAACGTCCAAAACGTTGTATAAAAAACAATTTGCAGTTTCAACAATAAATATTAAATATATAACTTTACGAATTTACTTTAATTGAAATAAAAGTGAGGGTATAAAAGGTGAATCGAAGACAAAATTTTTTTTTTCTGTAATATTCTTTTGCAAAATAAAAAGGGTACATTAATTAATTTACGTGTTTTTGATATTTGAAACGTAACATGTTTTTTTTTTGTTTTGACTCATAACATTAGGTTGAACTTACGTTAATTCCAGCTTCTTTCACAGTATAATTATTGTATTGATTTTTTAAACATGATGCTTTTTTGAAAAATTCCACATTCGTTGATGATTCCCACCAATTCTTTAAATTACCATTTTTATCATAATCTTTTCCAGTATTATCGAAACCATGAATAATTTCATGGCCAATTACAAAACCAATTGCTCCATAATTCATCTATCGCGGGCGATCAACGTTGAAAAAATTACCTTGAAGAACAGCTGCAGGTAAAACTGAAATAATCAACGTAATTAAGGTAATTAGTTCATTAGTATAAAAATCGTTATTAATTGAAAATGGCGTAACTAACTTACTCATCTCATTATAATTAGCAAGATAAAACGCATTAACAATTGTTGGATTCATGTAAAAACTCGAGTTATTCTTATCAAATGAACTTTTTAATAATTTAAAAGTAATATTATACTTAAAAAGTCTAATGCTCAATATCATATCTAAATAAGAACTATTTTCGGATAAATCAAAATTTTTATAAGCTTCGTTCATTTTATCGTCATCCAAAATTCCATCATCATAAGCTATACGGTTCGTTATAGCATTAACTTTATCTAATGCATTTTTTTTAGTTTCTTCGTCCATCCAGTCGAGCTGCAATAATTATATATTATTGAATATTATTCAAATTTGTGTTCTACCATATATGTATAAAAAAAAAACAAAAAGAACTTTGATAACAATTACCTTTTCTAAGGTCACTTTCAATTGGCTTTCAATATGATTAACTAGTTCTCTGGTGTTGTTTTTAATAGCGTCATTAAAATAATTTTTTACGTAAAGAGCACCAATACTATGGCTCAAATAAAGTAAAATATTATCAAAACATTGCTTTGATTTAGGTGTTTCTTTTGATTGTCCAGTTAAAGAGTTTGTAAACTCAATTTGCGGTTCACGGATTTCATCGTTCAAATATGCCACAGAGTCAATAAAAACTCTCCATAGCATGTAATTTGCTAAAGTCCTCTTTGAAGTTGTGTTCATAGTTTTTTCAAATTCTGATAAGTAGTAAGGAATATAAACAAATATTTTTTGGTTTTTGTCTACGTTGAAATGAGGTTGAAAAATTTTATTGAAGTACTCCAACCATGGGATACTAGGATACTTTACTTCTAACTCAGTTACAGTCATTTCATTGTAAGTATCACCGATTTTAATGATATTTTGTAGACTTGACTGAAAAGTTGAAAAATTGTATGTAAAAAAACGTTAAATTTTTTTTCATAGAGCTTTTACACTAAACCACTGAGCGTGTAACATTAATTATCACTAGTTGATAACAATCTTGCGACTGAATTCAAAATTTCATAAAAAATATCTAAGTGAGTTAAGACGATAGAATGCTCCCGGTAAAAATAAATAATTAAATGAACATCGATTATTTTCTTACATTGTCTAATACCACTTCAAGTAAAAATGAGTTGATAAGCTCTTTCTCAGCATATTCACGATCAGCTCCCAGAAGGACAGCAACATCAACCATATATTTTCTGTAATTCTTTACTGTTTTATCTTCCAGGCCTTTTGATGTAAACAAAAAACCTAATCCCAATTCAGGCATCTTTAGCTACAATAAATGATAAAAAAAAAGTAATAATTTTTTGCAACAGGCTTTTTACATACTTCAATACTTTCGACTTACGTTTATTACTCTTCTAGTATTATTTTTTAAATCTGTAGCTACTTCGAGGTTAAAAAGATAATTAAAAGAATATCCCATCTCACGCAGTGTGTAGAGAGTATTGGTCCAGTTAAAAGCGTCTTCATTCCATTTAGTTCCTTCTAGTACTGGCCAGCCTCCCAATTTATTGAATTTATCTTTCAAAGGATTTGTCCCATATTGTTTCATAGCAGCTATAAGTATGATTGTCATTAATTAATACATCATTACATCAAACAGTATTTTATCTGAAAAAACTTACTTTCATTCATACAAATGTCGTAAAATGTCTTAACAAGTTTCAGACGTTTGGGCGTATTCGGTGAAATTTTTTCCCGCACAATTATTTCTAATTGCTCTAGAACTTTGCCTGTTATAACACTGAAGGTATCTACTTTTTCCTGGTCATCGAGGATACTAGTGTAATTTAAGAAATTACCACAAGCGAATTTGTAAAAATTATCACAAGGGTTTTCGGTAGCATCCATGTACTTGAGAACTCTTAATGCTGAAAAAAAAATCGTATTATATTCTCATTAACACATGTTACAAAAATAAGTCACAAAAAAAAACACAATCGGTATGTCAATCCTAAAAAAGTAAGGTTGAAGTAACTGATTGAAAATTCATTTATGCTAAAGGACTGAAATAAATAAGTAATTTAAGGTCCTTTTATCAATCTAGAATCAAATTTTATCCGGGTTAAAATTATTATTGTCAGTATATCTATTTGCATGAAATCTATCGATTTATTTTAGCATTGGAAAAAATTAAACCCTGAATTAAAAACTTGGCTCATATATACTTAAGAATTCAATTCGATCTTTCAATTCTTTCAACATATTTAAATTAACTAATTTTTGTTAAATAAATGTTCATTTCAGTCGATAAAGTTATTGCTATAATTTTAAATTTTCTTACTTTTTAATTAGAACTTTTAACTATTTTCTTTAGTCAGGGGGGCCTTGCCCCGCTAATTTCCCACCAGGGCTTCGCTCCTGGACCCCCATTTTGTACCGGAATTTATTGCCGTATTTGTAATAAAAAATAGCAGTATCTGAAGCTTGTTCGGTGTTGTCGATTGCCCATTGGCAGTCTACAACTTATCGCATCAGTCACACAAGACATTAAAATTATTAAAAGAACATATTTTTCCAAGAATCGGATAAATTTTTGATAATTTGAAAAAAATAATAATATCTGTTTATTACATTTTTTCATGTAACCTTGAAGCATAATTTGAAACTATACATTTTATTATATTTTAAATTAATTTTGTCAGCAAGTTAAAAAATAATTTTTCTTCGATTGTATAATAAATAAACTCAGCGATGCATAATAGTTTGTATTCATATTTTCGAGTGATTTTATGCTCCCTTGAACAGAAATTTTTCAATGAATTACTTCAAGGCCAAAATAAATTATCAAAATTTTTTAATGTTTTTTTTTCGAAATTAAATAAGATAAGGTGTCGATAATTGGTGCTGTTATCTTAGAAAAAAATAAAATTTTTATCCGTTTAATTTTTGTATTTGCTTCGATAAAATGTTTAAAACAAATTCTTAAGGTATTTCTGTAAAGTAAATAAACTGTTGACCTTTACAATCGTAGATTTTAGAGCATTGACAAAAATAAACAAACTTTCGTTTTTTGTTAGATTATTTAAAATTAAATATGTCTCGAACGATTTAACCGATTTTGATGCAGTTTACGGCAATTTCCGCAGTTTTTTCAGCACAAAAAGATTATCTCTTAGTTGATAAGTAATCCGGACAGAAATTTCGAAGTTATAAAAAAAAATCACTTTTTTTCCTCAACTATATTTTACGAACGAATCAACCGATTTTGACCGGTCCAGTGGCGATTGGCGTGATTTTTTTATGTTAAAAGCTGATTAATTTTTAGAATCGATCGGTAATGCCATTTAAAAGTTACACAGTAAAAAATATTGTGTAAATTAAATCAACACAATTTCTGTGTTAAATACGGTCAACACAAAATTAGTGTTAAAATTTAACACACTTTGTGTTGTTTTAACACAAAGTTTGTGTCATTTTAATACAAAAGTGTGTTGAATTTTAATACTAATTTTGTGTGGACCGTATTTAACACAATATTTTTTACTGTAATATTCCAAAAAAAACCACATTTAAAAAAAATTTTTTTGTAGTTCTTTATTAGATTTCTTGGAATCTACCGGTCCGAATCGGTCTAAATTGCATTAAAAATCTAAATTTGGTCAAGCCCAACACATACACACACACACACAAACACACGCTTTCTATGATCTCAAAACGTGGAGATCTGATCAAAACTCGATTTTCAAAAATCGGGGTGCAACTAATAACTTCTCAACTTTTGAAAATTTTCAATTTTCTTAGCGGGAATTTAAAAAAATTTATTAGTAAGATATAGGATAAATAAAAATTTCGTAAATTTGAGTTAATAAAACTTACCAGTCTTATTGCATTCTAAAGTACGGCAAACATTTTCTGGAACAAACCACAAATGCAATTTTATAAATTAGACTTCAAACTATTAAAGTATCATAAATAAATAAAAGCAAAATTTTACCGATTTGGGTCGGAAATCCATTACATGAAGAAAAATATATAATGAAAAAAAATAATATAGATCCTCGTTTTAAAAACAAATGGTATTTTTGTTTGGTTAATTTTCTAAAACAAACAAAAAAACTTTGAGTATTTTCTATGAAAATATATAATAAATTTAATATTTCAAATACTATGAACCTGAAACTTACTTTATTATTTTCAGCGCCATTCTTCGTTTTGTCGTTCAAACTACCGTATTACAAATATACTGTCGTATAAATAACCGAAGAAGTAACGGAAAATAAATTATCAACTCAAGCTATGTTAGAGTATTTGTGTGACTATGTATTTATGTTATCGACAACGTTAATACATCCACAAATTTGGAAATAAATGACACACCCTGGCGGTTTCAGCAGCACGGTGAACACGGTCGCAGCACGGTCGCTTGACAGTTGTTTCACGGTCGTTTCACCGTATAAAGTTCGTTCTTACCGAGCGATCTATCAGTCAGCATCGGATACCGTTGTGAACGATGTCTACTATTAATTTATTGAATATATACGATGTATACGCAAGTGAATCTACGATGTTATGACCGATGCTGTACGCTCAATATACTGTCGAAATACGGTGATTTTACGCTACTGTCACGGACAATAAAATAAAAAAAAATACTTCGGACAGTCTAGATCGGGACTCGAACCCGGTTCAAATGGTCGCGCGCCCGAAACTTTACCAGTTGGGCTATCTGAGACAACGCACGGGATAGTCGATTCAGTGACATGATAAGGTGTCAAAACCAAGTCATTTTTTTCATTGTACAGATAAAAATAGCTTAAATAAAGTTATATTTTTTCCAGGACTTCAAAATAATAATCGTAATAAATGATTCAAATTTTTGATGATTACGAAATTCTTGATTTCGAAATTGCGATGAAATTATTAACTGTATAAAAAAAGATCTGAAAAAGAAATTGCTAAAAATTTAATTGTTAAAAAATCTCAGAATAATTTTTCTTGATAACAAACAATTGTTCCGTAATTTCGTAATTAAAGTTTTCGTCTCTAAAAAAAAAAAAAAAACTCAAATCTTTAATAAAGAATTCAAATTTTGGAATTACGGTGAAAATATTTGACGTGCAGAAAATAAGTTTATAGTTAAGTTGAAATTAAATTATAATGTATTAATTGATTGTTGAATAAAATATCACCCAATTAAAAAAAAAAAAAAAAAAAAAAAAAAACAAAAACAATGTTGATTATTTAGATTATTTAGATTTATTAATGCCAAGGCACAGATGGCAACTATAAAATATTACATAATAATATAAAAATATATAGCGATCATAATTTATAATTTATGGTTTGAGTATTTTTATGGAAATAAAATAAAATAAAATATTGTCAGCAATTTTTCTTCGTTGACTAGTAAAACATTCCTGACTTACCGACATTATACGCTCGTTTCACTTACAAACTACCGTGCAATGACAGACGATCGATCGATGATCTACGATTTTTACTTAGGTAAAAAATCGAAGAAGTCAAGTAAAAATTTGGTTTTTCGAAGAGTGAAGTATGACAACTATACAGAATAAAAATCATAAAGTAACAGTGAAAAACTTTCACAATGATACTCGTCGTTCACTGTCAAATGACGGCCGTTCGACAGTCAAGTGAAAGTCATTCGACGATCATTTGTCGACACTGTGAATTCACAGTACATTCACCGTCGTTTCACGATCATTTTACCGTGACCACGAATCCGCCAGGGTA